TCCTTATGATATCAGCTATATGCCAGTGAAAGTCCCGTCAAAATCGGTCCAGCCGTTTCGGAGATTAGCCGGAACAAACAGACAGACAGACAGAAAGACAAAAATTTTAAAATGTGTATTTTTGTTATAAGTACCGTTTATACTTTCATATGCATTTAGTAAAACGCTGTTTTTCTGACATTACAAACAGACACTTCAATTATATTTATTTGTATAGATAACTCTTCATAATAACGCAGTAAATAATTTTCCCTTTATGGTTCTTTTATTTTATACAATCTGTGTTTTTTTTTTCATTTGAAATAAAGAGTATTGTATTATATTGACTAATTAACTTAATGTAAGCAGATTCGAAAATTCCAGAAGAGTTTTGACTAAGTTTAATCCCAAGACCTTAGTGGCGAAGATTTGGCGGAGTGTGGGCCGTAGTATCATGAATAACAATGCTGCATTAGAGTGTCATAAGCGCCCGCTCGAGTTGTATGGGAAACACACCGCTACGCCACACGCTGCCACAGGGTAAGGCCTCGGTGTAGAGCGTGCTTAGAGTTGGAGCGTTCGATGTGCATGACAAACGCTGGCTCTTGTATAACAGTGCCTTGCGTGACTTTAATATGCCGTAAAAGACGCTATGTCGCACGCCCCGACATACGCTATTTCCTCAGGTCTGAAGTTAGGCTTTTGACGAAAGAACACACCTCAATCCTGCCCCAATCGCTCTGCTAAACGCTTTTGAGGCCTTAGGCTAAACTAAGCCTAACCGTTATACATACAGGTTTTTTGATTCCATCAATATATGGTACAGGTCTTCTATAACTCCACAGTCTTCACAATTGGGTGAAGTTGTTTTTCTCATCAGAAATACAAATGTCTTACATGGAACATATCCAAATCTGACTCTATGAGCAGTAGTAACTAATTTCCTACTTAAACTAGTATTCATGAATCTCAACTTTAGAATTTCCTATATCGACACAACACGGTAGTATTTTATTTATATTTATTTGTTGTCATTTAAAAACATTAATTCACTAAAACTGACAAAACAAGTGCAATCAAGTAAATTTATCACAGTTTTAAATCTGTAAGTTTTACTGAAAGTTACTAATACTAACAATGTTTTGGCAGAGAGTTCTAAAAACTTTGTGGTTATTTATCCTTGCTTGTAAAGAAACACGCGATGCTAGATAAGGTAATGCAGATTCATTTTTATTCGTTGTGTAGCCACAGAACACAAGGAAACTAAATATAAAGAAATCCATTCGTAATGTCTACAGTAAAGGAGTGGAATAGTTTACCAGCGTTTGTCTTCTGAGTGTTCTTAAGACTAGAGTTAATAGGTTCTTATTACGTTAAAACGAAGTACGAAGTATTTTCCACGTAGGGCTATCACCACTTGGTATAGCAGACAACCGCTAATTTCAAAAATGTAAAAAAAAACAAATTTTGATATAATATTTGAATGAATGATTGAAGATTTTAATTATCTAAATTTAATTCTCACTGTTGTTATCATCAGGTTGCCAACCCGCTTGTCAACTATGGCAAATCCTATGAGGGAATCTACGAGGGAGGCTGTAATGGTTGTTGTTATCATATACTTCAATATTTGATCAAGATACTTTTTGACCTAAAATTACAGTAACTTCCCAGATGTAGAATGTACTAAGTCATCTTTGGTGTAACGCACTAGAAGCGACAAAGCTACGTCAAGGCTTTTGTTGGTAGAATAAGAATGTAGGATTAAAAGAAATTAATTCTTGCATTCCCTCTCCCAAAATTCAGGAAACAGACACATGAGTAACTTTGCACCTGTATTTGAGAGTGTATTTTTTTTTATATGATATGGTGACAAACGAGCACACAGTCCACCTGATGGTAAGTGGTTGCTGTGGCCCATAGACACCTACATTTATCCTCGTTTACGAATCAAAATGCAGATGCGTTGTCACCCGTGAGGACTAAGATGGAATGCCTCTTTTCCAGTAAAAAGGGTCTCCGGTTCTCTACACTCGCCATACGAAACACAGCAGGATTAAGCTGCTATTTTACGCTGGTATTTTGTGAGAGCGTGGTCCTTCCCCGGTCGAGCCGACCCGTTCGTGCTACATCTATACTACTAATATAGCTGCAGCATGGCTCTACCACGTATAGTTTAAAGATTCAGCGTCTTCGCATGTCTTATGTATTTTAAGTGACTAACTTCACGGTAGGCAGTTGATATCCTGTCATCTACCGGTCAGAGCAGAAAAAAAATGCCAGTCCAACGAATTAAACAGTATAATAATATTGTATAAGTTGGTTTTCCATCAAAGAAAATTCCCTTTTTCCACCTAAGTTTATCAAAGCGTTTACGGCTATCAGAATCGATAGGCGTTATAAATATAATTATTTATATTATATTTTCTTAAAGAATATTATATTTTCTTTGTAGCAGTAGCAATGACATACGAGCATATAGTCCGTCTGATGATAAGTGGATGCTGTGACCTATTCAGACCTACATCTATATTTGATTAAAAATCAACATCTAGATGCTGAGGGCTAAGACGGAAATCGTTTTCACCAGTAAATAAAGTATCCGGTTCCCTTCACTCAATATATGAATGTGTAGCAAGAACCCAGTTAATAAGATTAAGTTTAAATTTATTTTGAAATTAACATTAGCAATCATCTGTATCTACCCTTAGCTTTAAGTTGTATAATTTTTAAAAGAAATAAATATTTTTCTAGAATCTTAAGAAAACAGTGATAAAATAACTTTTTATATAAATTACAGGCCACGTGACGACTTCAGCTATAGACATTTGCCAAAAACTTCAAACAAAGAAGCCTACAAATGCATTGTCACCTCTGAGAACTAAAACGGAATGTCTCACAGCTCGCATTTACACCAACTCTCTATACGTTTTATACTGAAACACAGCAATGCACGGACATCAAAATGCACATGGAAAGGGTGGTACATATACAATTAGACAAACGAGCACACAGTCCACCCGATGGTGAGTGGATGCTGTGGGCTAGAGCACTCTACATTTCCTCGATTAACAATCAAAATGCAGAAACATCATCTATCTATACGTCAACCCTGAAGACTAAGATGAAATGCCTCGTTTACAATAAGAATCTTAAAGGTTACAACAGTAATTAAAAAGGCGATAAAGTTTACTGAATTGAGAAAAGATTTATACCTAATGTCATTTCCACAACTAACACAAATTTAATGACAGCCTATATGTTAAAATATAGACGTGCCAAAGAAATATACATACATACATCTCTTGAAAAACATTACCTGTCTGGGACAGTCGGCTAAAAAAGGTCCCCGGTTCTTTGCATTCACTATACAAAACACAGCAGCATTAAGTTGCTATTTTACGCAGCTATTTTGTGAAAACGTGGCCCTTTACCAGTCGAGCCGAACCATATGTGCTTTAACCATAACATTAATTGCTGTATTCCTGATTTTAAACAAAAATAAGATTTGCCTAAGACAGTCATCATAAGTCTATTTGTAATTTAATCCGTTTATCGTCTTTACTTCATATTTATCTTCATGATGATAATACAATAAGATAGTATGCTACAATCACGTGGATGCCGGTGTATAAAAAAATAATAGCACTGAACACGACAATAACCTACCATTTTAAATTTGACAAGATACACTCAAGTACAAACTGAGACTCAGAAAACTAAAGCATTTTAAAACAAAATATACTAAAACTGACATAGATAATATTAATATGTATTGTGTATATATGTACCGTATGCATGTATATGTGTATATATGTATTTATATATGTATATAGTGTGTGTACTTAAGTATATATGTGTATGTATGTGTGTATATGTATATTTATATGTATATATGTATATACAATATTTTTTAGCCCTTTCTATTTTGATTACTGGTGCACCGCCTCTTGTTTGTCTGTCTCTGTTTGGCCTAATGCTTGACTGGGTGAGAATGCCCTATGGAATTAAGGCCGCCATATGTACGACTTTGTGCATGAAAGATTAAATAAATAAAAAAATTTAAATCATCATTATTACAGCCTCTCACTAATCCGGTTCCGTTTATGTCCAACCTACCAAAAAAAGATTGCCACTAATCACCGTCCTGGCCACCTGCTTCATTTGACTTCCTACATATCATACCAGGTCATCACTGGTGGGGCCACTTTACACTTCGCGACCCATTTTATATACGCGTTTACGAATAATGTATATGCAAATAGAACACAATTATAACAATTAACCTCTTTAATTTTCCCGACATTATTGCAATGAAAACTGACAGTAAAATTTTCAGTCATATTTTTGTGTGTGTATCATTAAATCATACCACGATTACTTAAAAAAAACACTCTTTGAAAATTAAACTTTTTAAGTTTTACGATATAAAACAATCCTTACCAAATCATCTTAGGCGCATACAGCATGTAATATATCCTATCATTAAACTAGTATTGCAACATATAAAAAAAAATTACAAACAATAAAAATGAGGAGAACTTAAAAGGTTCGTGTGAATCTCAAACCCCTCAGCCGTTTCATGGCATGGCCTTCTTGAAGTCGTAAAACGAATTAATGAAAATGCTTTTCTTAATTCACGGCCATAAAATTAAATTAGTGCTTAAGTTACCAACTAAAACAAAATAATGTTTGCAGAATTAGGTTAAGTACTAAAAAAAATGCTTAAATGACATAATTCAAGAATATCACCATATTTATGAATAAATGTGTAAATAGTGTGTATTTTGTTTTAACTGATAAATGTAAGTAATATCTAATATCTTAATTATGCAGTCTGTCTGTGTATATTAATAAACGTAATATCTTATATAATGTACAACAATGTAAGAACATTCTACATTGCTTCCATTTGGATACTGATCACAGCAACGCATTTTCAAGCCAAAGATTTTAAGATGAATTTTAAACGACAAATTTGACAATAAAGTTTTCCATCTATGAAAAAAAAATTAATTTACCGGATCGAGTATCCCCGCCATCGGTACAGTTATTGTGTCTTCACCACCAGCCGCCACCAACTTTTCCAACACCTTAAGAGTCTGTTCCACCGCTGGCCATTCTCCCTTTTGCGCCAAGCCCAATATCTTGGTTGCAGCATCCCGCATATTAACGCTCGCACTCTGTGGCTTCGACACATCCCCGTTTGTTTCCTTAATCTCCTTCTTATCGCCATTGTTAGAAGAAGTCTCTTCCTTCTCATCTGTGCTCTTGGCTGCGATAGTTTTGTCATCTTCTGCGATCTTCTTCGGCGGACCTTTAGCGCCCTTCTTGCCGCCCGGGGCCTGAGACATTGTCACTTCATTACCAAAATCCTGGTCACTATTCCGGTGCACTGCACTGAAGTTCGCGAGCGATCATGTTGATTAATTTCGCGGTATATGTTGACCGTAAGGCGGGCGGAGCATGACTGCGGCAGTTGCGTAGCAGGGCCGACTTCTTGCATGATTCGAGTAAATAAAGTCGACGTCGACTCAAGCTGGATTTACAAACAAAACTTACAAAGGCAACGTATCGAAATGTCTTATGCATTGACCGATTTATATGCTGATGAGAAGAAAATAGATGATAATAATTTATGTTTTGACGATAAATATTCTTTAATCGGACGTTATTAAACATTTTTTTAAAAGGACATTTTGGAATTTTATTTTTGTTATCAAAATGCATTAGAAGGTGTAGGAAAGACTTCTTCGAATTCCAATGTCACCCGTATTAGGTAAACAACAAAGAAAAACGTGATGATGATGAACCCCAGACTGATGAAATGTGTGTCATGTGAAAAATTTACCGATACGAGGCTCAACTTTATCAGTGGGTCCTAAAAATCATTTAAAATAACGCATTATTTGATGCATTTTCGAAAAGTTCCGACAATAAATACTAAGTTGAAAACTTCTGAATTCATTTATTATTAAATACCATACCATTACAGCCTATCGAAAGTCCACTGCTAAGCTCAGGCCTCCCCTAGACATTGCCTTTTTTATATTATAAGGGTGACAAACGAGCACACAGTCCACCTGATGGTAAGTGGTTGCTGTGGCCCAAAGACATCTACATCTATCTTCGTTTGAGAATGAAAATGCAGATGTATTTTCAGCCGTGAGGACTAAGATAGAATGGCTCTTTTCCAGTAAAATAGGCTAGTGGATATTCTTACCAGTACTATACGGTCAGTATTTATTACAAATATATTACAAAAGTGAACGGTAGAGTCAGCAAGAGGTGCCCTAGAGCCATGCTGCAGCTATATTAGTTGTATAGTTGTAGCACGAATGGGTCGGCTCGACCGGGGAAGGACCTCGCCCTCACAGAATACCAGCGCAAAATAGCAGCTTAATGCTGCTGTGTTTCATATGGTGAGTGTAAAGAACCGGAGACCCTTTTTACTGGAAACGAGGCATTCCATCTTAGTCCTCACGGGTGACAACACATCTGCATCTTGATTCGTAATCGAGGGTAGATGTAGATGTCTATGGACCACAGCAACCACTTACCAACAGGTGGACTGTGTGCTCGCTTGTCACATTTATTCTACAAATACAAATACAAAAATACAAAAATATTTATTCATAACACAAGTCTCATTTACAGTGTTAGATATGGATCTCACCCTTCTAAGTTTGAAAAACCTGTATTAGGATGAGTCCGCTCTTTCTTTAATCAGTAAGTCATGATAGATATGACTTGTATTACATAAAGATAAATCAACAGACAAAAGTAACAATCATTATAATAGCTGTGAGTGTCTGTGTGTGTGTGTGTGTATGTGTGTGTGTGTGTGTGTGTGTGTGTGTGTGTGTGTGTGTGTGTGTGTGTGTGTGTGTGTGTGTGTGTGTGTGTGTGTGTGTGTGTGTGTGTGTGTGTGTGTGTGAGTGTGAGTGTGAGTGTGTGTGTGTTTTCAATTTATACATAAAACAAAATAATAATTGTAATATAATAAGATTCATACGAACAAACGTATGTTACGTGTTGTGTGAAAGTAATGATTCAGTACTGTCATAGTCAAGCTGTTTCAACCAAGAAGTAATCAATTTTTTACACTCAAAGTAATGTTTGCTGTAAAACTTGAGTTTCCCATTTAATTTATTATACAATAAGTGAGATTGCGAATTGAAATTTGTACGAGCAAATTTTGTTTTAACAGTGGGGTAGGAAACGACAGAATAGGGATTACGCTTACTTAAGATTTTTGTATCTAGGGTAATAGTTTTGTGAATTTTAAGAATACATTTTAATATGTAAAGTTGCCTAACTGTTAAAACATTGCAGTCCCGATATAGTTCAGAAGTCCCCGATGTAATTTTCCTGAATGTCATAACTTTAAGGAGTGAGCGTTGAGCCCTCTCAATTTTAATCATTTTGGTTTTGTGGGTACCACCCCATATTGGCAAGCAATATAGTATGATGGATTGTACCAGAGCAGTATAAATGTAAGTAATAAGTTGTTTGTCGGCGACATGTCTTATGTATTTGAACAACCACAATAGCTTCTATAAAAAAATAGAAAAAAAGAAGAAAGTTTATCGACGAAATTGGGTACTTATTGAAGATGGACCAAATTAAAAGTACCCGTAACTTACATTATGTATTTATTTGTGTAAAATATACAAATGAAATAAAGAAGTAAAGTGCATTACAGGCATAGCCTAGACGGCCGGGAAGATTAAATCCTTTACTCGTGGGTGCACTACAACATGGCGGCAAACATAGGCAAAAAGATAGACCAACTCCGATAGACTCCTTGGCAGAAAGGGAGGACCTTTACCATCTATTTAATCTATCGGAACACTTCTATACTCAATAACCAATAGTTTTAGGTTTTCTCAAACACTTCCTTTCAAACTTTCTACCAATTACACAGTCAAACAGAAGCTAAACTGGTCTCATTGTAACCAATATAATTTTTGAACGTCAAGAAAGATTCGCTATCACGTAACAAGTTCCTACTGCGGGAGGCCAGGTGGAACTATGGTCAGGCAATTGCTGAAGTTAATTTAACCGTGTAATAGTGGTGTGAGAATATCCATTACGTAATATCGCCTCGTGGGTGTCGTAAGAGATGACAGAGGGAAATAAATATAAAGGTGCAGATTTTTGAAGCAGATTTTTCCTAATATCAAGAAGAAAATTAAAAAAAAACTCGACTTCAAAACCGCTTGCCAAACGTGGCAATTATGTTAAATATGCCCCTTTTGAGGCAGTCTATAATACTAATAATGTATGTTCTTCAGAAGTGAACTTTGATAGACTGTGGTAGAATGGCCAAGTAAGAACAAAAAGCTTCGAATTTGAGCCCGCGACACCAATCAAGTAATCTGGCCGAAAAGGCATACAACAATCGTTAAAACTAATAAGCTGATTTTTGTTTATAGAATAGGGTGATAAACGAACACACAGTCCACCTGATGGTAAGTGGTTGCTGTGACCCATAGACATCTACATCTATCCTCGTTTGCGAATCAAAATACAGATGCATTGTCACCCGTGAGGACTAAAATGGAATGCCTCTTTTCCAGTAAAAAGGGTCTCCGGTTCTCTACAATCACCTTACGAAACACAGCAGTGTTAAACTGCTATTTTACACTGGCATCCTGTGAGAGCGTGGTCCTGAGAGCCGACCCATTCGTGCTACAACTATACTACTAATATAGCTGCAGCATGGCTCTACCACGTGTGAATATTGATGATAACTATTAACATCATCATTACAATTCGTCACAAATCTCCTGCAAAACGTTACTTACCGAATGCTTTAAACAATTTCTTATAAGATCGTCACTTTATCTAACGGTAGATCATATTATTACATGTGACACCGTTCGTAGGTCATAAGTTTCCAGATTTTGAAACTATTTGAGGCTTAAATACAATAAAGATTTTTCTATATATTATCAAATGTCAACTCTTTATATACGGCTAAATGTCTAGGATATTATCATTCTCAGGATTTAAAAACTAATTTGTTTATTTTAATAACTTTATAATTGTTATTGTTTAGTAATAAACCTATTAATAACAACTAATTGTATAAAATTACTAAATGGTTACACATAATATTGAAAAAAAAAACTATAATAAAGAAAAACTAAAAAACATAAAATCATCTAATATATAAAATTCTCGAATCGCGGTGTTTGTTACCAAACTCCTCCCCAACGGCTGAACCGATTTATATGAGATTTTGTGTGCATATCGGGTAGGTCTGAGAATCAGCCAACGTCTATTTTTCAAACCCTTGAATGATAAGAGTGACCCACCCTTAAGTATTTTTTAATTTTTTTGGCAATTTTTTATTTTTATTTTATCATGATTTAGCATTGAAAAATACATAAAACATCAAATTTTCACCCTTCTACGATCAACCCCTGTTTTTAATCGCGACTTTTAAAACTAAAAAATATTTCTTAGAAATAATGTATATGGCAAAATGTTTGCCGGGTCAGCTAGTATTATGTGAAACTAATGTGTCTGTTAAAATTAATGTGTATGTTAATACCATGATGGATAGTAAAATTAAATTTTCTGATATCGTAGCGCTGTCATTTTACAATTTAAGTAATTTTATCTTGCTTAGTATGAATCTTAGCAACAGAACATAGAGATTTACCTAAAATTATCCAACTGGATTGAATTTAAAAATAACTTCGAACAAAAATTTCAACTAAATAAAATGAAATAAAATGAATAGAATAATTTATGTATCTATATATTATGTATAACCAGGTGACAAAATAGTCCCCAGTCCTTACAGTAAACGGTACATATTACAATAAGCGACTTCACTAAGTTCCTTTAGCTATCCAATGCCCAAGCGGGTGCCCACGACTTTTTCTGCCACCAGGGCGACGCCACTAGAAAGTGAGGTATAATATTTGACAGATCTCATAGCGGGGAAGTTAATTTGTTAGGAAAATGTAAATGTTATTGTTTCTTTCTGGACTATTAGCTATATTTTACATTAATAAGATTAAAATAAATAAACCAAACCACAGATATTCATAAAAGTATAAAAATTTAAAAAAAGTTAAAAATGTGAAAAAAAAAATTAAAGAGCAAACCGCAGACGATTTGTTTTGTGTATTAATTTAATATTCTAGAAACTGATAAACTTTTATTAAAAACCAACTTCTCAATTAAATTACACTGTGTAATAATAAACTTTTCCTCAGTGTCAACTAGCGACATCTGGTGAGCAGAAAATTATTAGCCCTCGTTGGCTGGCTGATTAAATATAAAACTTCGATAATTAAATTTATATTTCGTAATTATATTATTATTTTAGTAGTCA